AGAGAGGAGACAAGCTGCTTTTTCTCGGTGGATCTATGTTGATTTTTCAGCATTCGAATGAAAATTCAGTTTTTATGCATTTTTACGCATTTCTGCAGTTGTAAAAACGCGTCTTGATGAGAGATTGTCGGTGCGTTTGCGAGTATTCACAATTCTTTCACCTACTTTCGGCTCAGAAAAAAAAAATTTCATAAGGATGTTTCTAGTCTATGTGCCATATACACAGCATAAAAACAATGCTCATGTATACCTAAAAAACATGTGGGTTTTTTGGTGGAAAAACGATTTCGGAAACCAGATTGATAGGAAACTAATTTAACACACTTGAGCAGTATCTGTGTTATTTCACTAGTTGTGATTCTTTGGCTAAGTTACGCTTTCTTCAGCCTAATGTTTTTGCAGTATTTTTTACTGAAACGATTTCGATTGGCCTGAGAGAAAGCTTGGGTTCTTACTTCACTTTCTGCTGAACACAAAAATGCAGCAGATGTTATGTAGCGAGAAGTTCGATAATAAGCCAGGTTTACAGCACTGCGACGTACTGAAGTCGCAGTGCTGTAAACTTTATTTTAGGTGGAAGTCTGATCCGTGTCAAACAGACTTTGACAAATGAGCTTTTGATGCTTCTGGAGTAGAGCGTCTCGTTCAAGCTAATCATCTGTGCAGCAGCAAGCTAAAAGCGGCTCTTGCTATGTTGTTGCCCAGCACTTCGCTGGCTTCTGAAAAGCATCTCGGCGCAGTGTTCCGAAATGTGTCGAAAAAAGCAAAGTGATTTTTGCAGGGCAGTGCCGAGTTCCGCTTCCTGCATTCGTTGCTGGATACACAGTCTCGACTGGTCATACATCCCTTGATGGGCCTGTACGTCGTCCTGCCGTCTTCCACACGTCTACCACTCATTAACTACAAATGGAAACAGCTCATGAAGTTGCGCGACGAACTGTGGAAATTCATATCCAAGCAAGTTCAGGTCAATCAGGCGTTCCTCCCTTGCCATAGTTTTGTTGTTGTTATTGCTGTTTATAATGTTTGTTTCTGCAGGAGCACATAAAGTTGTGCAACTTCGAAGAGGA